GGGGCTTTACTGTCTTGCTTGGCTTAACCACTTTTCTGTTTACAGTTTCACCTATTTTTCTTCCCCCTCTCTCTCCCCCTATCTCTTTTTAGTTAGCTTTAATTATTCCTATCCATTTATTGTTTAAAAACAACAGAAACCAATCATTCCTTCCATTATGAACCTCCCAGATTGGCTTGTTTGATCTGGGTTTAAGCTCAAACTGTTGTCTGGGAGACAGCTGTCCAAGTGATTATGAAGAAGCAAATAACTTTTTATTTTACTTGTCAATGAAAGGAAATGCATTTCTCATGAGGATGGCTTGAATTGAAAACTTTTTCCAGAATTAGATAACTTTTCAGGGCTTTCTTCATAAACAGTTTGAGAATATGCACCTTTACTTTTACTCAGATTATTAAATACTGTACTCTTTATACATCTGAGACCATAACTATTTGAATGTTTTATAATGAGCTGTATAGCCAACTGTGGATACAATTACCACAGTAACCTTTTTGGATCAATACCATACAGTGCAAGTTTGCTGACTGCAATCAGGCTCTGGGGAAATATTGACAGAATGTACGAAAATCCCCAGAGTCCTTTTAAAACTGCGTGTAGCTTCCATCTGGCAGATTTTTGTTCTAAGAGAATCTGTCTTCCTGGTGTTATAATGAGGCTAAGACAAAGGAGACTATTTCAAATGTAGTTTCAGATGTCAGCAGTTAAATGGTAAAAGTAAATAGCTGTGTGCAGCAGCCATGTGTTTTTCCCTTTTTCCTTCTAACTGTATGACATTCAGAGTATTGGCAGGAGAAATGATGGAAACAGACCACAGATGACCCATTGCTGCTCTTAATATGCCATTGATGCCTCGGTATAGCTGTAGATTCTTTGAGACAGGCTCCTTTTTTTTTTTTAAACACCATGCTTATTAAGAAGCTGGCAGCTCCTGGATTTTCACAAAATGTGCAGATTGGCATTCACATAATGCCAATGTAAAGTTTAACTACTTTTATACTGACAGCGGACTGAATCAGTAATACAAACAGCTTTATTAATAATGCACAACTTCTGTATTCTGTCCAAAATGAGAAAAATGAAAACAATGCAAAGAGGCAAAGCACATAAATAAATATTTATAATTTAACAGGAAGTGATGAAAAGAGAGGAAGCATAATTTATTGAAGTTTACTTACAATTAATGCAAGGAAATTATGTGAAAAATGTGTAACAGTTTTGTATAAATTAAAAAAATGATTTAATCATTTTCTAAATCATTCTCTTAATTTCAGCTGTAGTTGGAGCTGATAAAATGGAACCTTATTGAGGTTTGAATCACTGTGTAGAAAGTCTTAAGCTGCTATTCATGTTAGTGAAGTTTGTGTCAATCTTTAAGTATTGGTGGTTCCAGTTAAACCGTAACACAACGATAACATTTAGCTTTAATTTAATGAGCAGTTAACTGCAAGTCCTTAATCCTTTAAGTCATAGTATGTCGATATAGATTCTCAACATGTCTTTTACAAGGCTCCTGTTTCCCTGAGATGGCTGAAATCAATAGAAAAAAAAAGGATCCTAAAACATTTTTGCAGCACAACTCATAGAATAACTCAAACTCCAGCTGACAAAAGCTGCCGTGGGCAGTAATCGTTCCAGCCGGCAAAAATGACGGCCATCAAATAAAATAAGAAGTCCTGTTTGAAATGCAGGATCAGTTGCTTAAAAAAAATTCAAGAGCCCTGCAGCTCTGATATTAAAGTTAACTGATCTTGAAAATTCAAATTTGTTTTCTGATGTCGAACAAACAAAGCATTCTCCAACCGCTCGCGATTTGCTTTGCAATTGATCTTGTTCTGCACCTTTTGCTGCATTCGGGAAAGGAGAGGCTGTGACTGCTGTACAACATCCCTTTACACAGTGAGCACAAAGAGATATGCTCCAATAGAGGCGACACGGAAGAAAGCTAAAAACATAGAAGAAGAGGTATGGGGAAGGATGGAGGGGGAGAGAAAGAAGGAGAGTGACTCATAAATCAAGAAGAGGTGAGATTGCTGAATCAGGGTTGATTGTGCCTGCGAGAGACAATAAAGCCTGTAATCATCTGTCTCTGCTGCACAGACCTGGCAATTATCTGCCCATACCTGACCGCCAGAACAGAGAGGGCAGGATCCATCTACCTTCACCCTATCACCCTGTACCGCTCCAGTTTTTAAGGGGAAATTTGTGTGAAACGAAAAGATACAATTCCCAGAAGCACAGGTGAGAGGGGGGAGGCCAGAGGAAGTGGGTGAGGGAACAGTGGAGGAGAGTTTTTTCCCTAGTTATCCGTATGCGATATTTGGGGTTAATCAAAGAAAAGAGTGGTCTTTAATCTCTCTACCTACACATAAAGTATTTCACACACACACACACATACGCACACACACACAAGGCAGACAGTCAATAAATTATTGCAGATACGAGGAGAGTGGCCACTCATTAAGCTGGTATAATAGAGGCTACGAAAGCTCCATTTGCTTCCGCTGTGGTTCCTTCATCATCGCGTCTGCTCTCAAACAGCTGTCCGATGTTGGCATTTAAGGTACAAATTTCCCTCCATTTCCCCCTAATACATTTGAGGCTCAAGCATATGGACAATCACTCTCTGACTGAAAGCACTGCACTGAGGCCTAAAAGCTTTTTTTCTTTTTTTCTTTTTTGCCAGTCCAATAACAGAGCCAAATGAATAGTGTGGCTGTAATTAATCTTTTCTATTGACTGAATTAAACCTCTTGGTGGAACTCAGCTGTTTTCTTTCATTTTTTCCCCCTATAGTGTTGTGTTTTCCTCCCTAATGGGAGAGTTTGGAGAACAATTTCAAAGCTGCTTCCAGCACGGAGGATGATCAATGCTTTTATCAAACACAAATTAAAAGGCAAAAAGGCACTCAAGAAAATAATACACTGTAACAGGTAATTTGCGCTGTGCATCCTGAATAGAAGGTCATTGGTAATTAAAATCGAAAATTGCTTCCGTGAATAGGAATGAGAGATGCGACAGACACACGAAGACTGATTTGTGTCTTATTTGTTTTGATTTTTCAACCTTGGCATGCACTTGTGGATAGCTTAACAAATGTGTCTCTTCTGTTTTTAAACCTTAATAATGTCAAAGCTGCTTCCAGGCTTCAGGTCAGATGATCACTGCTGGTCAGCTGACTCAAATTGACAGATCTGGATATGTTTCTTTTTTCTCAATTCAGGAAAGAGTACCTCTCACCAATCTGAGACACCAGTCTGCGAAAGAAAACTATGAAAACAAAGAAATAGATAAAATAACTCAAAGTTATTCAGTGAGTTGAGTTACCTTCCTATTTTTCTCCTGCTTCATAGCTAGGGGCTAAAAAGGAAAACGTATACCTCTGAGAACTGTGCTCCCGTCAGTCCTCGGAGTTTAGCCGGCAGTCAGTGTCCATGTTGCCAGGGGAGCTGCACTACCTGATAAGCAGAGGTAGAGCCTCTCCGACACATCTGTCTGCTTGATGAGCCAAGTGTCAAAGCCCCCCAAAGTGCTGGATGGAGTGCATCAATAAACGACTTTAATCCCCTCCTGGGGCCAATGTCCTCCCACTAATAAGGGATCGTCTTACACCGCTGGCAGTAAGGAAAGAGGTAAAAGGGGTTTGGCATGGGCCTCAGCTCAAGGATGTGCTCTACTCTGGGAATTGTTTGTACACAGGTAACAAGCTGTAAATCACAACCGCCTTCTGTTGCCTTAATTGCTGGACCGAATTGGTGTTTTGTCTCCTGCTCCTTGTTGTTTTCCCCCCATCCATTGCCCTCTGTTGCCCTTTTATCTCTTTAAAGATCACATCGGTTTGTCATCACTATCTCTCCATCTCACTAACACTTCTTCATTTTTGTATTTCAAGCTATTTTTCCCGTAGCCACTATGAATCTAATACTAACCCAGACAGTCTACCTAGCCAGACAGAAGTGGGAAAGCAGAAGGAGGGGGGCTGAGCTGTATTGGTTGTGCTGAAGGACATGTGGGTTGCTAGCATCCGCAGGGGAAGAACCAATGAGTGTCCTAGCCAGAATGACCCTAATTAACCACATATTATCTGCAGGCTGTGTGGAGGATTAAGGCCCCTAGTTCTGGGCCCTACAGGCCTGCAGACCCATAGACAGAAGATTCTGTGCTGAAACACACTTCATATTCTGCCTCAAAGCAAGACAGAGAGAGATGGGGGCGTGAGGCTAAACCACAACAACAGGGAAAAAAAAGAAAAGAACCAGAGATATGAGAATGGCTGCTGTGGGAAAGACATATGGCTTGAAGCAGATCTGCAGGTCAGGACTTTCCTATAATGAACAAATAACGAAAGAAAATACAAACTCTGCTTTACAATGCATTGGAAACCGGGTTCCCGGCAATCTCAGAAAGAGGGAAAGTTTGGCTTTGTTGATCATTTCCCAACCTTTTCTTCTTCCAAGGTGTTGTTTGAACAAACTGAAGTTACTGTAGGTGGAGAGCGTTTTTATTTTACTGAGAAATAACAAGCTCATTTTCGAGTGTGACATTAGAAATCCAAGCAATGAACACTTTTCCTTGTTGACAGGTTGTCAAACCCACAATATGAACAATGCAAAGCTATCCGGGAACTACAGGAAACCCCCACTGATGCAGCACAATGTGCAGCCTCCACAGAAAGGCAGGGACTCTTATTTCTGTTGAAAACATTTTAGGAGCAGCTGTGACATACCTAATTTCAGAAGAAAGACAAGCTAATATCGGCAACACCAATAAATGATGTGAGTGTGGTGCGTCTCGTGCGAGTATTTCACATTTTGATAAGTGAAGGAATGAAGCTGTATTAAAGAGTGCCGTGTTCAAAGTTCGAGCATTTACAGGGCTTCGGTAGAGTATTACAGGATAAATCTATCCCTTACTAGTCATGTTGTGCAGCAGCTTTTCATGGTTCTATGCTTCTATTCAAGCCAGATAAGCCCAGGCTCAAAACCCGTGCTCTCACTTACCTCGGTCGGTGTCGTAGAGGTAGACAAACTTCTGCCATTTGTAGTGGGAGAGCAGGCTGAGAACTGCACCCCTGAGGGCAGGACGCATTTGGATGACAAACTGCACCTCATTATCAGTGGGGTAACTGGGCGTAACAAAGGAAGTGTGCAGTGCACCGCAGAATGAGGTCAAGGTGTTCATGGACTTCTTGTCGTAGAATCCGAAGATGGCATACACCCCGCGGGAGAACTGCGAGCAAACTGCAGGGAAAGCAAAGCACATGGTTACACAAGTGTCACGGCAGAGGCCAGCATGTATGTGCACTCAAAGGATTTACCAAACCACTAAGTAGCCAATCATGAGTTAATTTAGAACTAAATGACTATATCAGAACTTGTGTAAGGGAAAACCTACTAGTCATGCAAGGGAAAAAGCTTTGAAAAATAATTATTAGTCAACATCCAACAGAATTTTTTTTTCATCCCTTGAGATCATAATGCAAAATGCCTTTCTAAGTGCTGACTCTTTCTACTTCAGAAGAGTCTGTTCACAGACCAAACTGTATCATAATCAAAAACCAGCATACATAATAAGTGTTAGTCTGATGAGCATTGCACACTAAATACAGAGCTCATAAATATGAAAATAAGGTAGAATCTGCCAAACTAAATGGTAATTTAATAGTATTTTCATCTCAAACAAATCTGAACACTGGATGAAGGGAGTTTTCCAAATGGTAATACAATTGCTCTTTATTTCAGATGTATGAACCCTAGTGCATCAGCTTTTACTTTAATGTCTGTAACCTCTGGCTACTGGTCTGAGATAAGCCTATCAGAAAATAAAATAAATAAATGATAAAAATGGTGAGCAGAAAATTCCATACATATTTGGAAAAAAACACAATAAAGTTAAAGTTACTGTAACTAATACACAGAAAGCTTAACATTTTTACATAGTCCCATCTGTATTAAAGGTTTTCTGAATGTAACTTTGACATCATCTTTATAAAGCACTTAGTTTGTATAAAGGTATAAAGTTAAATATCTAAATGTGCATTTCGGCTACATTTCATTAGATGGGTTACGAAGCAGGCCAAACTCTCGTGGGTTAACGCTCATTCATGGAATGCACTGAGCACTTGGTCACAGCTTCTATTCAAGCAGGAGGCAAAGTGATCCGGTGATAAAGGTTTGCAAATGCAAGCAGTGAAGCGTGCGTGTTTGTGCCGGTCGAAAAGCAACAGCCAAAAGGATAAAAACGTCAAGCTATTCACTGAAGGTCTCCAGCTCCCACCAGGAGCTCCCACCAGTTATCACTCTGCTCCCTCATCCAGAGTGAACGCGTCACTGCAGTATTCACAGCAGCTGTGAACACCACCGATGCCGCTCCTCGCTTCGGTTGGCTCCCAACAAAGGAGCTGAGAAAGACAACTCTTTCTACCTCCACTGGTAAGTGAACACAGATTCGCTTTCAGCAACCTCACATTTGCTTCTGCTGGTGCTGATTAATGCTATAAAGTTTCTGCCATTCAAGTGCAAGTAATTTAGAAAATGTCTTATCTGAAAACAGGCTTAGAGATTCAGCTCATGAGAAGGGAAAAAAAAACTCAATTAAACACAAAAAACAGATTCTGATCTATCATATTGCTATCAGAGGCTGCCACAGGCAAAAACAGAAAATAGAGAAATGCTAATTCATTTTGGATATTGTCTGAAACACAACAAAACAAAAGGTGGAACAGGCACTTCAGGGAATGAACAGCTCAATAACACAAGATGTTTTTATGTGTGAGTGTGTACATAAAATATAGATAGATTTCAAATCTGCTTATATATTTCCATTTTGTCCATCCATCTATCCATTTTGGTAACCACTTATTCCCTAATGGACCCCATTAGGGAATAAGTGGGAGGACTGGAGCCTATCCCAGTAGTCAATGGGTGAGAGGCGGGGTACACCCTGGACAGTCCACCAGTCCATCGCAGGGCCACAGAGACACACAACCACACACACTGATACTCACACTCACTCCAAAGGGCAATTTGGGATATCCAATCAACCTGAGTTCGCAGGTTTTTGGACGGTGGGAGGAAGCCGGAGAATCAGGAGAGAACCCACACAGACACAGAGAGAACATGCCAACTCCACACAGAAAGGTCCTGGTTCCTCCAGGGACTCGAATCCAGAACCCTCTAGCTATGAGGCGATTGGTGCTAATCACTACACCAACATGCCGCCCTATTTCCATTTTGTTAAAATTAAAAAATAATTAATGTACCCATCTTAAATCTGATGTGGAAAGTGATAGGGTGGGGAAAAGTTCCACTAAGGCACAAGCTATTATTGTATAAACTAAATATCAGGAGCGACAGGTGTGTTTTGCTTTCCTACCCTATCATGAGCGGCTTGTTCATGTATTCTGATTGACTCTCAAGTGTTCCCGCTGGGTAATCAAGCATTCTCAATATCCTCAAAGACTGACTGTTCCAGCATAGCTGCCTTTTCATCCGTCGATCCCATGTTATGTCGTAGCTGTGTCAAATATTTGTTTCTTACTGGCTGATGAGTATCCACTCAAGTCGCATGGAATGATACACAAGATAGAGTTTTGGCTCTTGCTTTAAGTGAGGGGTATTAGTATCCTCCAAGCTGAAAACAATCCATCATCCAAATGACAGTTTGTGTATGCCGCTTCCATCCTAATCAAGCATGCAATCATAGACATACTAAAACAGACGCTCACACAAAAGAAACGTGTCGGCTTTTTTCTTTCATGCCCACGAGAGTTTGTCTGTCTTTATGTATGCATGTGCAAGCCTCTCTGATACTCAAAGGACAACATGACAGTGCTCACGTATTTGGCTCTTAAGCACAGATACAGCTTGAATGAGAGATCTAGTCACTGGTGGGATTTGCCTTCATCCGTTTTAATTCTATTCCCTCCATATCTGTCACCGTACAGGCACCTCTTCCACGGTATAGGCATCCTTTCACAGTCGCACACACAAATAAGCAGGCACACATGCCCGTGCACACAAGCACACAGACACAAACACACACACACACACAGCACTGAGCTTCTTGATAAGTGAATCAACAGATGGACAGCAGTATTGTGGGTAAAAGCTGCAGGGTGAGTGGTGCAATCTCCCACAATGAATAGGAGCCAGTAGGAGTTCCAACCCTTGTCAAGGTCCAGCTTCCACTGCACTCTCTCTTAATTTAGGCCAGCACTGACACAAGACCTATCCTACAGCGCCAGATCTCCCAGACTCCTCTTTTTTGCTCAGCTGTCTATCCTTTCAAGACCGAGCTTTGAGCTCGCCAAAACTTCAGTCGCAGATATGTTTACCACTTTATACCATCCTGCATCCCTTCACTTTTCTTTTCTCCCACTCTTTTTTTTTCCTTTAGTGGTACACTGTATTTGAAAGGGTCATCACTTTAATCCAGAGGAAATGTTTTTGTGTTCCAGTGATCCTGTGAGCAATGCCATCAAGAGTGATCTAACCTCTACAAGAGTTCTCTGGTGGTGTTGAGGTATATGAGGATACTCTGGACAAGGACTGATGAGTTCTGTTTTGGGGGCATGCTCTGGTCACTCTCATTTTCCAAGATCCGCCTCCACCCAGTAACTCTGACTCTTAGACACAAATCATCCTGAACTCTTTTGCTACCAGCAGTTGCTTGCCATGTTCTTACAATCCCCTCTCTTGCTTCTACATTATCTAGAGCCAGTCCTCATGATTAACATTTCTGACAAGTTTTGGAGCGGTATAGGGCTTATTTAGCATTCACTGGTATGTATTTCTGCACAGACCCAGCCACAGTTAATGCAATACCACATAGGATTAATGAAAGCAGCGCTATCGATTTTCAATGGAGTGCTTCAAGCTGAGCTGTGCAAAAGTCTCTTGTTTTCTCACCCTTAATCACTATTGGCCAATTTCCATGGTTAGAGGCCAACCAATGATGATGCATACTGAGTCTCTGTTGCAGGTTGCAGCCTGGAACTGGCCAGAGCTGCAGAGCCATCAGGCTAGGTTAAAGTTGCAAGGATGAAAACAATTTTCTCCTTTTCTTTAAAGAAACATCTGATTTAATGCATTTTTCACTTTATCTTGTTTCATAAAATGTAAGTGAAAAGTATGGATGCAATCATTCTCCCAACTCTTGATAAATGGCAGTCATTATACTGTATTTGATGGTGACTGGGAAGTCCCAGCTTTACATGAAGCTGGTTCTGCAAACCTGTTATTCACATCATTTTTCTCCAAAAGGCAACATGCACAAAAAAGCCCTTTGTTATGTTTGAATTATGTTTAGGGTGTTCAGGATTAAAACAATAACATTCTTTTAAAACAGTAAGGTACAGGGTATAAACTGAAAACTGATGAAAACAGTTTCCAAATAAAAATGCGTTGAAAGTCATTTGAAAAGCTTAAAGAGAACAAAGTATTGCTCCTTATCTTCATTTCAAGGATTTTTCTTAACTAAAAAGCAGTAAGCAAACATGTGCATCAACAAAACAGAATATAAAGTAAATACTCTTTAGAATCCTTTGTGACTTAACACAAGTTCTACTAGAATATATAAAATGTATTTTCTTTACATCTAAAATCACATAAACTTACTGCGAATAAAAAAGTATAAGGACTGTACATTTGTGATCTCATTGTTTGATATTTGCATATGAAAGTATCTTTTGCATCTAAATTAGAGCTGAGCCGAGTTTCTGAAATGGACATTTGTGGATTGTCCCATAGTCACTCAAACGCTGAACAGTATGTTTGTTGCCAGTCACTCTCCATCAGTTCCGTGCTGTACTAATCCCATCCTCCTTCACCAACTCACTGTCTCTCTTCGCTCTCCTTTATCCTCCCCACTCTTTCCGGCCTCTTCTTTTGTTGTCTCCTTTTTTGCTATGACCATCTGGTCATCCCCCAAAGCCCACTTGCTCCTCAAGCATGACAGGTTTTTTTGTCCACCTCAGTGCCTCTCGCTCTCCTCTCTCAGATTCTTTCGCCCATATTTTCACCCCACTCCATCAGTGAGCTCCAGATTGGTGTTGGACTTTGGGAGAAACATCTGAACGCTCAGTGCAGTCTGGAACCGAGTGGTGCCCTTAGCTTCGTGTCTTACTAATTAAATAAAAACTAAATTAATGTTTGGCTTCAAGAAGGAATAAAGGTGGGCGAACCTGTCTCTAACTCAGAGGATATAATTCATCATTTATAATGTGATTCTGCGAGCATCA